ACAGACATTTCTAAAATTCTGTTTTCACTTTGTCATTATGGGGTACTGAGTGTAGATTAATTAGAAAAAAAATGAATTTGAACGATTGTAGTATCAGGCAGCAACATAACAAAATTGAAAAAAGTGAAGGGGGTCTGAATACTTTCCAAATGCACTGTACCTAACTCACATTTCTCAGACCTTTATGCAAAATGCAACTGTTCTTTATAAGGTAATTTTTTAAGCCCGCCCCAAAATATATACAGTAATCATATTGGAGGAATACATGCAGCAGAATTCTCTCTATTGGGTGAAAATCATACCCCAAAATGTATTATAATAGGGAAAATTTATTTCAAAATATATAAGGGAGATTTCACAGATACATGGGGGAATGCACACACATGACATAATCCTTTTCTCCCAAAAATTGGGCTGAAGAGAATGCTGTCCATGTTTGGTCAGTACTTCAAAAAAAAAAAAACACCATGCATGTGAAATCAGAAATTATGGCTTTTGAAAAATGATAAGCAATGTCCACATTTCTGCCATACAACAATGTAAGCAGCTTCAATATGTGGACCTTTCTTGAAAGAAGCAGTATCTTCCTAAGCATATATAACACTAACATGGTAGCAGCAACAATAATGTATTTTATTATACAAAAGGGAAGACCGTGGTGACTCATTTTTAAAGACTCGCCCAGAGCAAGGTATTAGCGCAACTGCTCTATGGGGCTGTCAGTCCTGGAATAATGATTTCATCCAAACTTTGGAAATTGTACAAAACCATTTCCTTAAAGGCATAATGATGCTTCTGCTAGGAAGTCTGCCCATTCTTCTCCAGACAGTGCTAGGCTTCCTTGGAGAAGAGCTCAGGTTCAGGAAGCCTGAATTAATACGAACACACCCACCTGTCTGAAGGATAGTAAATCCCTCGTTAGCTTGTCCTTCAAAGTGCTGAAGCATCAGAAGGCATGGAAATCATTACTGCAATCATTCTTTCCCATCTACAGTATAAATATGCCTTGTTGAATCATCGTGAAAAGCTGGGAGACTGGAATTATTGCATGGTTTAGTAGGCTGAAAGCAGATCAGAGCATCATAGGTGAACCAACAGCCAGATCAGTACTAGTGGAAATGCTGCCCACAAATGCCTAGTTAGCATACGTGTGGTGATTCTTTGAGTGTAACAAACCTGAGTTATTACTATCAGTCACTCAAGCAGTGGTTGTTGAAATCCATTAAGTTGATGCAGGGGAAATTGCTATAATGTCTTGTCTTATATAAGGGCTAATAAGTAAAATGTATTTTACAAGCTAATGTGCTTTTTCTAGGAACTTTCCTGGGCAAAAGATAGAATGCCATCATGGGTGATTGAGACTAATAGCAGTGATCTGACATGGCTTAAGGGGGTGCAAGGATCAAACCTTGATGGAACGTCAAGTAAAGGGAGCTTTCAGCAACTAGGTAAAGTTTGCAAGGCGGCTGGACTATTCCAAAGATCTGTTAGTACCCAGAAAACTCAATTAAGTATGAATCAGTGGAAAAGAAGTATGCTTAGTCACTGAGCATTGTAATTTTGGAGCCTGGATTTATTGTTCTAGTCTACACTTGCTTTGAACAGCCACATGTATTACTTATGATCATCAAAGCAGTAACAATTAAGTGGATCAGATCAAAATAGCAAAATAAATAATACCCAGAGAAATTCATCTTTAAGATGTATGGGAAAATAATCTTTTGACCCAGCATCAACATTATATCAGGGAATGAAACCTTCCTTGGGGGCCAGCAGTGATGTTACGACAATGGTCTTGTCCTAAGGCTCTCATCACGTGTATGTGTATGTATGTAGGAGAAAGAGAGTTGCCAAAAGCTAGTAAGCATCACCATTTATTCTCTAATTGGGATCAGTCTCAGATTATCTCCCACACTCCTCCTATATTGCCTGTCTCTCACGCACAGTGATCTTTGGCCATTAGCAAGTGTTCCTTGATCTCCTTTCCTGCTCTCCAAACGAAGGACCATTTTACTTAGTAGCTGTTTTGCAATGATTAATTAGCCACCCTCGGGAAGAAAGTTCAATTTTTCATACTGAAAAAAACTAGAGTTGGATCAACTAAGTTCCATTCCCGTAGTCAGAATGGCAAAGGTAGTTGGATGTGCAAAGAGAAGCCCCACACATGGAGCACCTCCAAATAAACTCTCAATCCTCGCCCTCCTTATTAGATCTTCTGATCGGAAACCATCCCCAAGCATCTTTCAAGCTATTGCTCTTGCTGCTTCTCACTACAGGGAGAGCTGAACGGCCATATCCTTTGCTGTTCACTTGAAACTGCAGCAAAGCTTTGGCTACTGAGGAGAGAACTAGCTGGGCCTCAGAAGATGGCAACAATCAACTGCACGCCCAAAGGGAAGCTGCTCTGTAAATTCAGAAAAAAACACAAGGGGGCAGTGACTGATTGGATGCTTTCCTTACTCCCATTGCAAGCAAGTAAGTTTGTTTTTTCTTTTTCTTTCACACACGCAGATACAGGTGGCTGTAAACTGTAATCAGGAACACAGGGCACAGGAATGAGCACTGAATAATGCATGCCTGGGAGCAACACTGAGATGCGTTGCTGGTTACTGTAATGCCTTAGCTAGTTTAAAAGAGGCCAATAGAAGAAAATTGCCTGGGTGAAGTTGCACACCAAGCCAGCATCATGTTTCAGATAAAGTCTTTAAACACTTAAATACTACTAAGTATGTGCTATGGAACTGGAAAAAGAGCAGGCAAATAACTTTTGTGCAGCTTACAGAGCCACTAAACACAGTTTCCTGCCAATCTGAGACAGGAAATTCTACACAACTACAAGTGTAAGCCATAATGTGGCTTAACATGGCTGAGAAAGAAAATCCCAAATTTCCCCATCTTCCAGAAATCCTGACTCTGCCCATTGGGCTTTATTGCCCCACCTACTGCACCCCTGGCCACAAAAAAAGGAAGGAAGGAAGGAAGGAAAGGAAAGGAAAGGAAAGGAAAGGAAAGGAAAGGA